TTAAAATGGGTACGGCAACAGTAGCGTCACATACCGATCACACGGGTATCGAATACGCGCACTATCAGCAGTTTCCCCGTAGTGGCACAGCTTAGGGCTGTCGCCTAATAGAGTGCAGCTTAGGGCCGGCACATAACAAACGGAGCAATGTATACTAATTACACAACAATGTACATCTTTGGTAAACGTTAAATAAATAATCTTTATTGCGCTTACAAGTTAAAAATAACGAACTCAGTTAAATTCTTGTTGGCAAAACCATCGATGATGTCGTCGTAATCAATTTTCTTTATTAATGCCGACTCAATGCACAAATTAGCTAGAGCGTTTAATTTTTCTTGGCTCAAGGTCGATCTGAAATAATTTTTAACTCTTTTCAGACAAGAAAAGCTTCTCTCACCGGAACAATTCATTGCTGGTGTACATAAAGCCATACTACATACTACTATCTCCAACTTCGGATAAATATTCTGCAAATTTTGTTTTCGCAGAAACGACGATAGATTCTTCAAGCAGGCCGAATCTGGTTTCACCCAAATGCTTTGCAGAGATATATGGCTTCGAAAATGTATGCATTCTTGGGCTAATTCAGTCTCTAAATCGTTAGGATACTCTTTTTTTTAATGACAGAGCCTTTTCCGTAAGGGTCGATGACGCCAATTCATTTGGTCAAAAATCCAATTTTTTTATTGAATTTGTCGTACGCTTTCTTTCTGTTTTGTAGTTCAAATACGAGTCTATCAATCATGTAGTGATGTTCATGTTAAAAAAATATCGATATTATTTTCGATATAATATATCGTAATGTTCTATCGATACTTTGCGATATATCGAACATATATATCGATATTTTTAAAATATCGTAAGTAATTTCCTACTTACTCTATTAAAATAGTTTCTAATATTAAATAGGGAAGGTTGATATTATTAATATGAGTCACAACATCTAGAACAAATCAACTTTATTTATATATCAAATGAAATCAATGGCCATACGACCCAAAAGTGAAAGATTTATAAATCCCAGTATTTCTTCTCTAAGCTTTGCAAAAACAAAATTTTATTGACCCTTTTGGCTTGCAATCTGCTTCTCTGCTGTGTAAGAACCTGTGCGGCTTTTGAGAAAAGCCGTTCAGATGGAACTGAGCTAGCCACCATGGTTAAATATTTAAAAGCCACATTGTATAACGTTGGGAACTGTATTTTATAGTCTGCCCACACTTTTAATGGGTTTTCGTTAAATCTACTCACTGGAGTCCTCAAATAAAGCGATAACTCATCTGAAAGACTTTCATTGGTATTATTTGTTTTCCAATTTCGTTGTACCAGTTTATGGTGATCACTCCAAAGATCCGATGATAGACTAATTTTGTCTGAGTTGTCAGAGTCAGATTCCACAGTAGATTCATCCTGTTGATTCTTTTTAATCATCTCTTTAATTTTAATGACGGCATTTGCACACGCCATGGCATCTTCAAAATGAAGTTTTTTAAATCTTGGATCTAATATTGTAGCGATAGCTAATGCTGATACCTGCTCGATTGCGCCCATTCGTTTATTAATTTCAGTAAGAGTGCGTTTTTGTACATCCTTGATTAAAGATTCTTCAATGACTAAGTTTTTCAGTTTTGATATCATGCAGTGCACTAATGGAATGATTTTGCTACTAGAGCAATATTTATCGCCAGATATTTCCTTAGTCGCTGCTTCTAGTGGTTGTAGTACGTTAAGAAGCGATGTTAATATAGTCAACTCCATACCAGTTAACATCGGCGGTGCTGTCTTATGACGAATCAAAATTTCACTCACAGCATTTCGTAAATCAAGGAAACGAGCAATCATATAGTATGTGCTGTTCCAACGTGTTGGGACATCCTGAATCAATTTTGTGTCAGCTTGAATTGATTTACGCAACTCGTCACTTGCAACACAACTTTGTTTAAAAAATGTAACAACACTTTTTGCTTTTGTTAATATTTCCTGTAGTTCTGGAATAGCCAAAACATGTTGAGCTACTAAATTAAGTGTATGCGCAAAACAAGGGATATGCTTTTTTTTCCCAAATGCAATTTCGACAGCCTTCACCATATTTGCAGCATTATCTGTTACTACTGCTGTGACCTTATCAGTATTAAATCCCCACTCTTCACATGTTTTAGTGAGTGTTTGTGCAATGTATTCGGAAGTATGCCTTTCATCTAAGTGGTAAACACCTAAAGTTACAACATGAAATTCAATTCCGATGCCAAAATGAGCAGTTACACCTAGATAACTTCGCATTTGTAGATCTGACCAAATGTCACTTGTTAGTGTAAGATTTTCTACACAGCATAATTTATTTTTCATTACTGTTGATAATGCATCATACTTTTCATCTATCCAGCGTGTCACAGAGGTTCTGCTAGGAATCTTATAATGAGGCACTGTTACTTTCAGAAGATTCTTGAAACCTTCATTTTCAACTAATGAAAAAGGTTGATTGTCTCTACAGATCATAAACATTATCGCATTGTTAATTCTTTTTGTTTTGTCCCCAGTAGAGGTATACGCATGTATTTCACCAAAACTACTTTCAATTGATCTCTGGCGTTTCAAAGACAACACCCTATCATAATCCATCTTTTGATCAGTTTGAGTATTGTGCGTAAGTATCTCACTACAATCCATTGAAGACGACGTAGAAGTTGAAGGCGACAGTTGATGTTCGTTTAAGTAAGATTCCGATATCGTAATGGTATCTTGTTTCGAAGTAGTGGAGAATGAATCGGACGAACCCGAATTAGAATGTTTTATACCAGCAGCACTGTTGTTACTTTTGAAAACTTCCAAGTAGACCGCCTTATGAACATTTTTGATATGTGCCATCGTATTAGAGGTATTGCCAGCCGTTTTAACAATTTTTTGGCATAGTTTGCATCTGGCAGATTTCTCATCAATTTTTTCGAAATATTTCCAAACAATACTTTTTTTTGTAGGTACCATGTTAAAAGACTTGCCTGAAAAAGAAAAAAAATGCGTAAGTAAAATCCAAAGTCACAAACATTTATGAAATAAAAACAAATTCATCGAAATATTTTTTATCGATACCATCCCTAATTAACAGACTTAGCGACTAAAACAAAATGCACTAAATACACTATAAGTCTCGGTTAAATTCTCATTTCACGCAAAAATAGGTACATTCACATTCCATTATTTATTGTTCCATGCTATTAAATAGTAAAAATGTATACCTAGTAATTTATAGGTTAATAATAATAATAATAATAATAATTTATTTGTCAGACCATAGATCCATACATTATTTTAAAATAATACATAATTAATTAATTCTAATGTGCGTTAGTTGGGTTAGTAACAATTTTTAACTTAAAATGTATATTAGAATGTGTTAGTCACTAAAATTAAATAGACAGAATACATAGAATAGGTGCTAGGCGCTAAGGGGGAGCATGGACGTCACTCCATCGTTTTAGCAGCACCGTATACTTTTCACACAATGCCCCCAGAATGCCATTGGTGCTTTGTCGAACCCGATACATGAGGGAAGCTACACGCTTGCGGATGATGGCGTGGAAACCATCTGTACGTGCATCCGCAAACATGCCCGACGCACTACAGTATCTTGGCAAGCCCAATAACAACCTGAAAACATTGTTGTATTGCACACGAATAGCATGCAGTGCTCTCTGTGTAAAGGAGGCCCATAAGCTGCACGAGTAGAATGATTGGCAATAAGCCTTAAATAAGACGATTTTGACATCGTTTGAGCTAAGAACACATACTTACTTTATGAATCGTAAACAGTCGGGTAAGCAAAACACAAAATTCACAGCTTGCTTTTTCAATGCAATATATGATAATAGCTGTTATACTTAATATCACTGCACACACTTTACGGAATTTACTTTTCTTAAACTGTAATAACAAATTAAATAGCGTTTATAAATAGGTTTTCCGTTATATTTGCGCGTTGATAGCACTGAGATGAGAACGAACGAATTGATTATTGAACGAAACCAATGACTAGACAAACAAGTGACCATAAATAGATTCTATGGTCTATGCTACTACTACTAGTGCTGCCGCGTCGTGGAGAGTCTCTCATGTATGCGTTTCGTTATTGCAAAGGCTAGTTTATCAATAATGTATGAAATAATGTTTTTATTGTTACTTAATTCGTCAGTGTTGCACATTTAAAGGAATAAGCAATTAGATTTTTGGTATATCGGATGAAATATATCGATATTCAATTCGATACTAGGCGTTTCGATAATATCGGATGGAAGCGATATTATCGCGTAATGTATCGATATTTTTTTAGTATCGATTTATATCGCCCACTACTACAATGATGACGAAAAATGTATTGACCCTGAAAGCATCACTTACAGTTCCTCAACGGGTGTTTTGTCAGCAATTTTTTTTCTTTTCGGTTGCCTTTTTCCCAGATCTTTTGAGTACTGTTAGTGAGTTAACTAAATAAAGTGAGATTTTAAATATATTACACATTATAAAAAGAAACTTATTTATTGAAACATTTAAGACACTATTTCTCTGTACAAGGACATCTCTTGTTGTATCTGGTATTGTCTCATGTCTGCTAGCCTCCTCTAATATTTGTTGTCTGTAATCATGAGCAATTTTTTCACTATCACAATTAGGAATCTCAATATTATGTAAGTTGGCTACATTATGTAGCAAATCACAGGCATTTACTATTTTTGCTGCCATAATAGGTTCATAATGGAGTACCCTGTGAGACAACAAACAACGCCAACGGATTTTTAAAATCCCTATGCATCGTTCAACAGTATTTCGGGCTCTGCAATGTTGCCGAGTGTAATATTCCTCGGGAGAACCAGAAACTGCATCTAATATGGGAGTCATCGGCCATTGCCTTTTTTTTTTAATTGGAGGAATCGAATCTTTACCGACGCCTCCGGGCCAAGTTCAATGGCGAGGGGAGTGTGGGGGTCGACCCTAACGGCCACTACCCACTAAACCCTCCAAGAGCCCGTCTGCCACTGCTCTGTTAGATCAAAGGGGCTGATATCAGCTAAGCCTTTGCCCAGCCCCGAGCCGAGGTCAGGTTGTCCATAGGAATCCCTGTTGGAGGGACTTTGGCGCCATTCTTGGAGTCCTTTCTGCACGCCCTTTTGGGAGGCGCTTTCTTATCTTTGACATTGCGATAAGTTGTCCCGTCAAACGCCCAACGCGCGCGTCGTTCTCATCTCCGATATAGACGCCAAGAGCTCCCCTTCCGCCTGGAGCTTCATCTCCTCCCTCTTCGCTATCATTAAGGCTTGTTTTGCCGCTGCAAGCCTGACGTAGGTACCCGCCGGTTGTCGGCGGGCGACCTCTTCTACTACCACTCGATGCGCCAAACCGACTTCGCTTCAACGACAAGTCCGAAAGCCGACCAAACTCTTCCTCCAGGGCCGCGTAAGATTGAGCGGCGGCCGCGACGGATGGACTAGGTGAAGCGCATTAGCGCTCCAACACTACTCCTGCGTCTAACATCTTCTTTCCTCTACCATGGGGGTTGCCGGCCTCCAGAATACGATTCGGCTTAAACGCCGCCCCTTCACCATTGCTGGATTTAGAGTAACGGGTGGGATTTGACCCACCTGGAGTAGTTATACTGTTCGTAAATGCCTCCATGTTTGTTTTTTGGTTGGTGCCTTAGGGACTGGACTCCCCACCAGCCATTCATGCCCTCGCCAGGCACCACAGACTTGGGATTGGGGGTGCACTGCCTATGTCAGCGCACCTCGCGGACAACTAGCACGCCATCCTCCGTGCCGAAGCACCGCTCTCGGTTCAAAACCGCCTAAATGCGGCAGAGAATCGATCTCCACCATAAATTATATACAATACTAGCTGACCCGACAGACTTCGTCAAAAAGATTTGTAATGTGGCAGTTTTTGTGCCTACGTATTTTAAAAAATTCTCATGAACAGAACCGTTACCTTGGTGATAGGGCGTTGTGAATAAAAATAATTAAATAAAACATATATAAGGATTTAAAAGTAAGTAATCGCTTTCGACCGCCCATTAGTGCGTTGCGCTGCGTTGCGTCGCGTCATCCAACGGAACGCATTTATGCCACACCTTTTCGTTGACGCTCCCAGCAACGCAAGCGGGCTGCACGTCGACGCAGTTGCGTCTCAGTTCAGCCTTTGCAATGGTGAAAAACTGTTCTTTGTTGCTTTTATTACGGCCGCCGAAATAAAGTAAAATCATAAAGATTCTGGATTCTCCTTTGATAGCATTAAGAAATAGTGATGGTAGTTTTTATGCAGGAAATAGGGAGTTGTATTAGATGAAAAGACTTTTTTCAATTTTTTTCGAATGAGTGTGGCCAGCTTTAATAATTTGGTTGAACCTTAAAACCACATATACAAAGCAACCAAATTCAGGAACCCTTTAGAACCAATTGAAATGATTGGACATTGAGGTAAGTAATTCAAATTCATAATCTCGTAATGTTAATCAGTTATTAATTTCTTTAAAAACAGTTTAATTTAAGTGTTACTATTAACAACAAAGCAAAGTTATAATCCTTCTTACCATCAAAAATTATTAATCGTAGTGTTGGTTGAATAGGTAGCTTCGAATTCGTCTGTCGAACGACGATGGCATGGTGACTGGGCTTGTCTTTGTTCCGCGTGACTGCAATGGTGTTCTGATTCCGTTGATTCGGTAGAAATTTGTTGATTGAGTTGTTCCCCGAACCGAATTTCGGTAATATATTTATAACTTTGCTTTGGAACGTCAAAGTTTGTAATTCCGTAAAGCTGTCCAAAAAGGCAAAATTCCTTGAAAAATGATAAGTGCGGTTTTCTTTCTCTTGCAACGCTTCTAAAGCTTGCGCCTCGAAATCTCTTTCTTGGTTTGATCTCTTACGGCTTCAGGCACGTACGAGAAGACCTGGGGGTAACGAGGACTTTCTTTTGTAGGAAATGGAGAAGATGATAATGTGTTTTCATTTCGTTCCGTTTCTTCAGACACCATTTCAAGGCTACTGTCAGTTTTATTTTGGGCAACTTTCATCAAAAACAGCAACTGATGATAATAATGATATTTTTTCAATTGTTTTGCCCCCTATCCAGACGAACTGTTTTCTTTTTTTTTTTTACGTATCGAAAAAAGTTGTCCTTCACCTTCTCCATTTTTCACAACTCGTACCTGCAAAGAAAGAAATGTGTAAGTACCAACTTGTCTACACTGACAATCTAAATGGGCCCTGTTATTTTTTGTGTTTCTATTTCAGGTACTTAGGCGCGGAAATTCGAACGATTTGCATTTCAAATTTAAAGTGGAAGAGCAACAATTTCCAGAACTATTTCGCAGTTTGTCAAGCTATATGGAAATATGTTCGACCAAAAAAGATCACAGTAGAAAAATACAAAATATTGCATTAGATTTTGATCTCAAAGCTAACTTCCTCATCTTGGGGCAATTGATGGGAAACATACGTTTAATAAAACAAAAAGTGGCTCTTTGTTTTAATTATAAAAATTATTTTTCAATTGTTTTGCTGGCGGTTTTGACTCAAATTATAAGTTTGTTTTTTTCACGTGGGTCATGGTAAGGAAAGTGATTCTACTATTTTTAGAAATTCGACACTGTCCTTTAATGAGAAATGAATTACCATTGCCTTCCACACCACTTGGAAATATCATAATAACACCAATCCTTATGTACCGTCGGTATGAAGCTTTGGTTTAAGAAGCATTTATCCCCTACGGCGGACAATCTCAATTGAAAAAAGAGTTTATAATTATCGCCACAGAGCTCTCTGATTTTGGGATCATGGCAAATAAATGGCGCATTTTACAACCAATTATAGTCATATGATTTAACTTAATATTGCGAAAGATGTTGTGTTTTACACAATTTTGTTTACAAACGATGGGTTAAAAAATATGGCATAAGTAGGTTCCCACATTGAACCCATAGCAGTGAAGAATCATTAGCCGAAAATTTTATCAAGATCAATTTGCTAATTACTTATGAGTCCAGAAGGGGCTTTACCATGGCAGTTGAAAAAGATATAAATAACTATGTTTGATTTACAAATTTAAAATCAAACAATCTTGTTCTTTTTTTGGTCCTCAAACTGTCGTAATCTTAAATACTTTTTTACAAACAGCTACCCATTCATTCGCTTTACGAAATTTATCACTGTAATGTTCGTGTGATTTATCCCATATAATGGGTCTTTCTGGACCAAGGATATGAGAAATCTATATCATATTCTGCTACTCATGGTAAGATAAAAAATGTCGTTACGCTCTCTACTTCCTCCTCTACAGTGCTCACGTCCGTCGTCGCACGAGTCCACACGCAGCGCTCACCCCCTCCGCTTCGTCTCTTGTCCGTCGATCCTTGAAACCGCGCGAGACGCAACGGTCTAATGGGGCATGTTATATAAAATGTATGGAACGCACGACGACCACCGCGCAAGCACTAATGGGGCCTCGCTCTAATTGTTAATCATGTGAATCATAATTATTATTATTATCATTGTAGTGCTTTGTGGTATACAATGTTTTTTGTTTGATTAACTGGCGCATAGATAAACAAATCTGATGGTTTTCCAATGCGGGAACAGGCAACATACAATTGACCATGTGAGAAACATGGGTTTTCTAGATTAATACCACAAACACTTAATGATTGCCCCTGGGACTTGTTTATAGTCATAGCAAAAGCAAGCCGCACTGGAAACTGTAGTCGTTTAAACTCAAATGGCACATCAGTCGGAATCATTGGGATGCGCGGTATGAGAACATTTTCTCCTTTATACTTTCCTTTGAGTATAGTTGCTTCTATCACATTGTTTAGTAATTTTTTTTATCGCTAACCGTGTACCGTTGCAAAGACGCGGTTGGTTGATATTTCGCAACATTATAACCACCGATCCAACGTGTAATTGAAGATTGTGAGGTGGCAATCCTGGCAAATCCATCGAGTTTAAAAATTCCGGTGGATAGTTGACTACATCATCTTGATTAGTAGCCGAATCCACTGATTTATATATCCTCAATTCGCCTGTAATTTGTTCTTGAATTTTGAAATTTAATTCATTTACATCTATGTTTTTCGTTTTTGCTGCAGCCAGTCAACATGTCCATAGGAAATTTGCCATTACCAATGTCAATGAGTTGTTTAGAGAATATGTTTCCAGACTGGTCATTTTGCAACTCGACACGCATATTCTTGCTTAAATGAAGTACTTTGACATGTTTCCACAAATTGGAGGACTTTAGACAAGCATTGAGTTCATCAGCTGGCGTTGATCGTGGAATCACTGGCAATGTTTGACGAAAATCTCCTGCTAATAAAATCATTTCACCACCAAATACATACTTCTGTTGTTCATTTAACAGAGGAAGATTTGTTTGAAATAATTCTTTCAAGCGTTGAGATGATACAGTCTTTCTCGATGCAACTCTTGGTTAAAAGCGTCATGCGTCCAATGCATGATTGGGCGCGGTCAGACCTAATTGAATTAATAGTTTGTTTGACATTATCAAGCACATGTCCTCAATTGAAATCAATGCTTCATTGTAAATTTCTTCATTCTATTCCGTATTTGATACAAAATATCATCACACATATAATCTTTGTACTTGATCCACAAATCAATTGGGTTAGATGGGAAGCATGTAGATATGATTATAGAAAACAATGTTCGTATTTGATGAGCGTGTGATGATATTACAGCATCATTGAGAGTTTGATCCCAATGAGCGTCATTTTCAAGCAATTGCAAATGTTGACAGGCTACTCTGTAGGATCCACACAATTCACCATTCGTTCGTAACTGTTGAATGATGTTGGGCCACGTACATTGACTAATAGCAGTCGTAAATAAAAACATTCATCATTGCTTGGATGTACTGAATAAATCCGGCCAATCGCATCGGTGGAATATACATCTGTATATCCTGGAACTAGTTTTCCTTGTTTCCGTCGTATAAATCTCCTTGAGGTTTGATTCCAGGTATAATATTTTGGCATTTCAGAATATAGCAATGTTTGTGCGAAATCATCGTTTTGGCATGTCTCATGGTGACTGAGCAGCTCTTTGTACGACGTTCTATGCTGTAAAATACACTCTTCGTCCATTTTCTAAGTGAACAACAGACGGGTGTCTCTCATGAATAGGAAAAGAAAATATTCGCCAAACTGCTTCATTACTACTTTTTCCCATTTGGTATTGGGTAACTTCATCATTGGAATTCTCTGCACCAATTCCAATGACAGCCATAATACTCCCTCAGGTTACATAATATGTAACCTTTGCAAATATGTATTACATATTTGCAAAATTTAATAGATTTCACTGAATGGCATGATTCAACGTTGATGTGTGCTTTTTAATGTCTTTGATAAAATGGGTGAATATGGAACAATCCAACGATTATCTATTTCAATATCTTGTTGATTTAATTTGACAATTGTTGATTTTCCATTGTCTGCTGTCGATCTGCGACGATACAATGGATAACCGTCATTACCAGTAAATGTTTACGATATTAATGTCCGTGGATATCGTTTTGAACATTTACCATCCATCATACACGGTGAATTTTGATTAAGAGTTCCACAGGGACCATGTATCATGTTTTTGATAACTACCTCATGCAATCCAGGATCTACTTGTACATTAGAGATTTCAGCTGATATCACTGCACTTCATTTGGCCTCATCTTTTCAACCAACCAAATCAAAATGTGTGCAAGTGGCAATCCTCGTTTCTGCCACTCCACAGAATACATCCAGCAGCGTGTCTCACCAAACACATTATGTTTTACGATGAAATCCATTAACGATTTCAACTTTTGTCTAAAGACTCTGGCTGTAATATCATGACGATCAATGGGTGATTGCCCAGAGAATAACTCCTGCTTGATTTCTATCCATTGCGGATTGCATGTAAATGTGATGAACAAATCTGCTGTACCATAATGACGAACATACGACATGGCATCTTGAGCATATTCGTGCATATGCCGAGGGCTTCCGATGTATGTTGCTGGAAGAATAGACATCCGACCGACATTTTGTGCATTTCCATCACTATTAATCGCATCTCGAAGTTGAATATACTCTTCAGATCGGAGTTTGGTTTGATTTGACCTGATGAATGTTAATCTCTCCGTTTCAATTTTAACATACATGTCAACAACATATTTGTGATATAATCGCCGACATTTCAATATGCGCTTATCTTCATTTTCCCGAATCATTAGGCGGTATTAATAATAGTTCATTGAACTGACTTTTTTGTTGGTTTCAGAACCTGTAAATAGATTTTGTTTTAATAACATTCAAATATAAAATTAAAATACATAATATAATGACTGAGATATAGCGCCATAGCTAAACTAATATTTTAGTTACCTGTAATGGGATTTATCATGTTTTATTGAGAAATCGTAGCCATCTTCACCTTGCCAAAATATAATGAGATTATTGCAGTGCATCGTATGAGCGGTGTGTTTCCTTTATACTGTAACGCGTTACCTAAGATGTTGCGCTAAGCCCTACAAGCCGAGTCAATGCCAGCCATGCCCAGCTAAGCCACTAACTATCATGTTAGCAAACAGAGCCAATCACAAACCGAACCGTAGACTGTGATATAGTCTGTAGTGACGAAGAGCGTTCACTCCCGAGATCACAGATCGTTCACTCCCGAGGTCACAGATCGTTCATTCACGAATCGTCGGTCGTTCACGAATTGGCTATAAAAGCGCGTGCACGACATTTGGTTGGGCATTCTGATTGTATTACTTATCAAAGCGAAAGCTCTGCTACTGTCATAGTGTATAAAAATTAAAGTCTTTAATCGGTCAAGTTGTTTATTTAAAACTACCCCGTTTCAATACGTTGTAATTGATCATTCCGACGATGTAAAACAATATCACGGGATTCCAAGTTTTCTCCAACTACAACGAAAGCAACTTCATCAATAGTTGGTGCATAAAAACGTCTTGTATGTTCACCTGCAGGTGTTTTATCAGCTCTGATTACAATTTTGTAATTATCGGATGGCATCAGATCCAGGGCAGTTTTAAACAATATAATCAATTGATTGTGTTGACGAAATAAAGTTTGTAATTGTTCTAGAATAGACCTCTTTACTAAATTGTTATGTGAA